GAAAAGAGAGGAGAAAAGAGGGGAGGAGATGAAAGGAGAGAAGAAAGAGGGGAGGAGCTGGGGTGAGACTTGAGGACACTAGCCTAAGGCAAGGCCAGGGCAAGGGCGGGGGTGGGAAAAGGGAGGCTAGATCTGGAGGCGGGGAGGTTGTTCCCAGCACTGCGTCAATGTGATGCAGCTTGCCGGCTAACTGGAAAATTCCCCTTTCCTTTCCTTGGGCCCCCTCTTCCCTCATTCCTACAGCCTGACACCTGAGTCCCAAGAGTCTTTCCCTGGAGTCCAAGGGCCTGAGTTTGAATCCCGGCTCTGTGACCTTGGAACTAAGAATAGGGTTGCCTTTGTCTGTTATCTCTGAGCCGAGGGTCTGACAGATGTGAAAACTGAGGTCAATGACTTGGCCATAGTCACACAGCTAGTAAGCAGGGGAGATGGGATCAAACCCAGGTCACCTCAAAGCCCTTACAGCACACTCACCCTCCATAGACCTCAGTTTCCTCTTCTGTCATTCTGGGCATGATTTCTCCTTTTGGCTCTGACTCTGTCTCCATGATGCTCGCTAGGCTTTGTGCCCATAAGCCTAAATCTTAGCTCCCATCCCAGTTTCAAGCTGGGACAGACCTTAGAGACCGCTGGGGGAGAGAGGAGGAAACCGGAGCCTGGGAAGGACAGGAACTAGTCCAAGGCCACACAAGGAGTAAGGGGCAGAACCAGGATCTGAACCTGGGTCTTTGGACTGAAGCCAATCCAGTGTTGATGACATGACACCAACCTTTTTCATTCCACAAGACATTAAGTGACTGGCCAGCCAAGACTACAGCCTAAAATGAAACTTGGGTCTCTCTGCTAGCAGGAAGCTGTGATACCATTTCCATGGGTTCAAGCCCTCCTGCCTCTGATGGTGACTAGGGACCCTCAAGTCACTTTGCTTCTCAAGGCTCCAGGCAAGTCTCTCAGAGTGTATCTAGCTGAGACCTGCACTGAAGGAGGAAGGGTCCTCACCTGAGAGTTCCCCACACCAAGGAAATCGAAGGTCTAGGCCTTGTCTCTTGTCATAGTAATAATAAATCAAATGAAATACAATTTCTAAAGCATTTAGCAAAGTACCTGGTACATAGCAGCACTTACTATATGCTTATTCCCTTTTCTCCCCTCCCGCCATAATAACTAACGTTTGTATAGTGCCTGAATGTTGGCAAAGTACTTGACAATGCCCCTTCCTACTCCAGGAGCTCCTTTGATGCCACTGGGGCCATCTCTGGGGGCTGCTCTCAATCTACTCCAGATTTGGGTCTGCCCTTTGGAAAAGGTCAAGTCCAAGGGTGTAGCTCACACGTAACCAGGACAAGGTCATTTGTTTACACCCCATCAAAGTTCCAAATGTGGCATCAGTGGGGGTGTCAATGCCCTATATTGGGAGACACCTGTCAAAGTCTCACCCTAAATCCACCTTGCCAACTCTGACCATGGATGGTTTTCCAGCTTGGACAGGTTCTTTCTCTCTCTCTCTCTCTCTCTCTCTCTCTCTCTCTCTCT